GGACGGGCACCCCGAGACGGACCACATCAATGGCTAGAGACATTATCAGACATGTCCCAGCCGCGCTCTCAATGGCGCTCGTGCATCAAAGCTAATTCAATCAATGCATATATCCTTTTCCAAACCCCTCCCCACTTGACTGACAGTGCTGGATTTATGCACCAATTTACCAGCTTGTGCAGTGCGCAGCGTGCATCAAAGCTATTGCATTCAATGCATATATCCTTTTCCAAACCCCTCCCCACTTGACTGACAGTGCTGGATTTATGCACCAATTTACCAGCTTGTGCCTGCAGTGCGCAGCTACTGACCACCCCTTCCCAAATCATCGGTGAACGAAACTGCGGCAGCTGCAACCACTGTACGACGAGTACGCGGTTATTACAGCTGACAATGATGATGATGATGATGATGTTCGGTCCGGTCAATTCTGTATTTGGTACTTACGAAAATTTCCAAAAACCTCGATGTTTACCCTTTCGAAAGCTTTGATAGAAGTTGAATGATGCTTCAGCACCGATCTGGTTAGAGCGCGAAGTAGTCAGGTTAATCAAAGGGACATGACTGACTGAGAAAAGGAACATTCTCTGGAGTGATCCGTGAATCCACCAGACCATCCATACACGCGCAGCTACCATAACCGGAATCGTAATTCATCGCCATCCCCCGAAGGTTGCATTACTGCAACACTTGGCCGTCCTTAACCACAGCTATTCTTACGTGGTGCCTTACCAATCAATCCTCTCGGCCTCACATGGAGATTATAATTTTGACCTCGTTGCAACGCCTAATGGCTTCATGGAACGGAGTAGTACAACTGAGGTGAACCAAATGAATCATTACACAATGGAATTTGGTCCACATTTCTTTGGTCTTCGTCTGACGTCCAAATTTCACCTGTGACAGTGGGTCACGGTTCGCATGCGACAGCGAGTACATCCCCGTGCATCAGTCATGAGAATATCGTCAGGACCTAGTCGCGGATATGGACTGAACAACTGAGAGCGCCCGGCACCCTTTGCGAATAAGATCAACTTTTGGATTCAAAGACTGTGATGCTGCCTTCTATCGATGCCTATCCTTGTTCACTATCACCCTACAGGCTGTATTTCTGTGTATATATATTTTGTGTTATTATATACTCGTCCTCATATTTTAAAAAATTTGGATAGAAGTCATGTTGGCTGTTTCGTTTCACACTCCGAACTGCGGCTGGTACCTAGAAGATAGTGTTTTACATGGTTTTCATTGTGAGAAAAAGATTGAAAATAGTAAGCGTAGTTTTCAATCCGATTCTCTTTCTGACTTACCAACGTCGTGTTATCAATTAGACATCAAAGACTAGTAGTCCATATCCGTCCATCACTCCTTATCCTCTGTGGTATGTTTTTGCTTGTGGTAATCTCCTGTCTCCATTCAGAGGAGTACTTACTTTGGCACACAACTTGCGCATTACCGTAGTGAACTGGATGCGTGCCGTGTTGTCTACATGCATTTGGCTGCAGAGAGAGAGAGAGACGAACTGCAGGGACTCTCCAATCTCGAGTTATTCAAGTTTAAATAGTCGGTATGTATGCACCCTTTTCATCCGAACCCACTCACTTTGCGGTAGTTTTTCCCCAATATCTGATTCGGATTTCATTTATCGGATGTCTTGGTCAAGTTTTCAGCAATATTATTTAACAGCAGTTATTTCGCTTCGTCGAATTAGCTTTCTCCACTGTGTACCGTCTACGTTAGGTCGTCCTTACTGAAGTTGAATTGAAATCGTATCAAGAGCAGCTGACCAATCAGATGAGTGAACTGGACCAGTGTCGTCAACAGCTGATCAGGTCACAGCAAGAAAATGAAGCTAAACAACAAATGTTAGAAGAACTCAGACGGACAAAGTGAGTCGGTCTCAAGTTGTACCCATAATGTGATGGGCGATTTTTTTCCTTTTTTACGTTTCTATTGAATGGTTTCCATCTGACTTGGCAGAGAAGTATGAAGGAGATCACGAAACGCTTGGGTGCTGTCGGTGCTACTCGCCTTCCAGGATGGGGACCGCGTGATCCTCACTGTGCCTGGTTGGAGACACTACAAGATATGGCTGCCAACCGATGTCAGTGGCGTTCTTGTTGTCAGTTTCTGTCCAGATTGCCTGAGTGAATGTCTGGAGGTGTAGGCACCTCGGAATGATTGTGTTAAGCTAGCACTAAGTCCCTCCCCCATCCCCCTTTATTCTTTTCTTTACAATAAGGCTTTCAAATAAGTCATGGTTGTACGGCAGTGAAGCATCGGTGTTGTACACTGATGTCATGCTGTCGATGATGATGATGACTTTCGAAAAAAGACCTATCCAGTCTCACTATTTGGTACCCGTGTTGCAAGACTATTCTACATTACATTTCATAACGACTGCAAACAGTGCATTGAAGCTGCTGCTTTTTGCGTCCCACATCAAAGTTCTACTGACATTCACGCATTCAACTGGTCGTATGGCAGCTATACGCCTAAGTGATGTCACACCAAGATGATTACTGGATGCAGCAATTACTATCTTGGTTCCCAATTTGCACTCCACCTACCGACTCCATTACTCAACTGATCTTTCATGTCTACCACTTTCTATGTGACGTATATAACTACAAACTGTGCTTGACTGGCTTGCAACTAAATTCGTGTTATCGCCCCGTCATCTCCTGACTTCCTTTTTCAGCATTGAGCTGCAAGGTCTTTCGTGTATTCACGAGGCAAATTTGAACAAAATTCACGCAGAGAAAGAGGAACTGGAACGAACGGTGGCATTTCTTAGATTACAAATGTCCTCGGTGAGTCATTTTGCAAGATTTTTCTAAACTGAGCACGTCGGATGCAGGTCAGATATTTACAGCTATTTTCTTTCTGGTCTGATGGTGACCAGAATCAAGGTCCTCCACCTGGGAACTTCCGATTTTGTTTTTTGCCCCATCCCAAGGATACGTGTGGTGGACAGTTGGTTATCAAGCGAATGTGAATCCATATGTATGTTTTGTATGCAAATGTTTGCTGCCATACTCACTACAAAATCGAGACGTCTGATCTAAGGCTGTTAATTCTGCAGCATTTACATATTTTGGTATTATGAGGAGATTTTGGAAGTTTTAGTCAGTATTACATTCATCTTAGTTTCGTTTTATTTTTATACTAATCCGTATTTCCGGCATGGCGACACGATCTGTTCCGTCTTCTCCTTGAGTTCTCACTTGATTTCTCGATTTTTGTGAATAGGTTTGTGTAATCCGACCTCATCTTAACTTCTTGCGGTTCTCTTACACCGAAAGGCAATGCAGCCGGAAGGTTTGTTTCACTCAGTTACCCGATCCACGGGGTGCATGTGGGACTTTCTTTTCTGGTAGCTTGATGCTCCCGCTTTGTTGCGATTCACATTTGGTGGTCTGGGAAAATCGACATCTCTGGAAAAAGTTTGTGAGGGAAACTTTAAGCCTGCAGCGTTTATGTTCCGGATATTAAGTTCTTTTCTCCTTTCGCATCAACAACCCCACGTTCTCACTTTGATACCATTCGGGTTTGCGTTTTAATGCCTAACTCCATCTACCCTTTTTCGTGTACTCGAACAAGCGCCCCACTATGGCTAGCTTGTGCCTACTCCTAAACAAAGTTACAGAGTATATTTTATACTCAGATTCATTAGACTAAAAGTTTTCCGATAGTGGAGTGAATCTACAGATCGTGGCAGCTTAGTTTGGCAGATTCAGAGCTGTAGCCCCTGCTGTCATAGGAGACGTCTCCTCTTGGTCGCTCAACATTATACCCATTCCAACACATCCACCTGCAGCGTCTGTCGGATCACCAGTTGTGCGTTGCCTACAGCTAGAATATAGTAGTAGGGCATCAGTCCAATTGGGATACTTGCGTCCTGGATCCTTGGTTCTGACTGACGGTATACATCGATTCAGGATTAATCCAGCGTTCGGTCAAGAGGTTCTTTGTTGTCCTGCTTTCCACTGTGCGAACAGCCATTCAGACAGGAATTTGGGGTTTGGAAAAAGACTTCGAGATTGGCAAACTACAATCATTTGCAAACAAATTTGGTTTTCCGAGAGACTTACCTAGAACCCAACTGAATCTTTCACTTATGATGTTCTTGAGCGACTGCATTTGCTTCACCAGGCTGTCTCATTTTTCAGTTGTTACAGTATTCGAGATATCGCGATACATGTATAGACGCAATACGGTCGTAAGCGAGAGATTCGGCTGGTTTCCAGGTGAGTCTCTCGCAAAAACAAATTTGTCCGCAAGTGAGTGTATTTCGCTAATTTTTCTCAATTAGGTCTCAAGTAAAACATAAGGTTGACGAGAACTTGGGGACTGCGCCCCAAGAACGGCGAAACCGGTTGTTGAAAAATTTTTAGCAACCTTTTGATTAGTGTATTAGGTGTAGACTTCGAGATCTTTAAGGCTGTTGATGATACCGCACCTGAACGTGGGGCTGATAAAAAATTGTCAATCCTACTGCTAGACCTGCGGAAAGGTAGACAAGACGTGGAATACTTGAAAATTTAGGAAGGGAGGCGTCAATGGTAGTGTATTTTCGCTTACTTAACCTGCTGCAGTTATTAAGGTGACTCGGCGGCCTGTGATGGCGTTTTTGGCCTGACAGTATTTGTAGCTGTGGAGTTCGTGGTTACACGCGGTGTAGGATGCCCTTATGAGGACCATTAGTGCCCTTAAACAATCCCTTATGCTCAACAAGCTGACCGCAAGGTAGCGGATGGGTGCTGGCATACTACTATAGTTGGGCGAATTTATAAGGAACAAGTCGCCATGTATGTGCTAACCCCCAATCTGGAGGACCAGTCTTCCATCTCTAGCCACTGACGCTCTCGGTGGGAGGAACTTTATGGGTGTCAAGTGGACCCCCAGCACAATTCAGTGGACATAGAGATACACAAACCGACCACGATAAGACCAGTCTTCCATCTCTAGCCACTGACGCTCTCGGTGGGAGGAACTTTATGGGTGTCAAGTGGACCCCCAGCACAATTCAGTGGACATAGAGATACACAAACCGCCATACCACGATAAGTCCTACCCTCTCTTCAGCTGAACAGATACTGCTCCCTCCAGGTAGTTTGGTTCATTCCAATAAAAGTGAATTTTCTCAATTTGTATGTTTGCTTTGATCATTATATTCATGAGCTTCCTGTTGGCCGATCTTATACCTCTAGCAACACTAACCACTAGGCAGTGTTCCATGCATATTTTTTGTGACTTTTCCATTGAACCCCACAAGCCCCATATCATTAATCATTTCTTCATCTCCATCTTTACAACGGATTCGTTAATGTCGATTTAAATGACTTGGAGGCCGCTTGATTGTACGCAGTTGGTTGAACTTTCCCAAAACACAGCGAATAGGTGGTTCAGAGTGAGGTAGATCAAGTGGTTAGAGCGCGAATTTACTGACCGGAAGGTCCGTGGTTCTAACCTGACCTCTTCCTCTCGACTTCCCCTTTCTAGGCTTGGGCAACCTGGCAGTATCCCAGCCCTCGTGCTTTTTTCTGGTGGCATGGCATTTAGACACCGAAAGGGTGTTACAGCTGAATGATTATCTCATTATTATCTCCGAGTGAACAGCGCCGGACGACCCAGTTGACACACTTATGGACCCAAGTTCGGATCCTATGCATTCCTTGGAATGAGCTTTCTCATACACAAAATCTACTGTTTCAGTTTTAGATTGTACCATCCATCGCTTCACATTGTTCCGTCGTTTGACGACCGAGTGTAGCTGAGACACGATTGCATGTTCCCAAGTTCTTATCAATTGTTAAAGAGCAACCCCTTCGCTTATTTTTTCTAAGTGTTCCCAGTTTCCAAAAACCTACTGTATACATGTATTTTAACCCACGATCAATATCATGCCGCCAGTGATATGCCACCTTTCTTATGAACGGTACTTTTGGACTCAAGTGCTAGTGATACTGTCCGATTCCGATGAAATCGGGTCATACTATGAACTGGTGTATCTTGGTTGTTTTTACAATGCTCGCATATGCTTTCCTCCAGTTTGCTTGTCATTGTTTCGTAACTTAGGTACAGCTTTCACCGCATAACATTGTTCCCAGTTTTAGGCTTACGAAATCACCTAGCCTCTGTATGCTAAAATACCAGTGCAGTTCTCCAGCCGGCCATGGAGTTTTACAAGCCCTTTTGTTTTTCCTAGGTTACAGATGAACGTGACCAACATGTTGCTGATGCCATGCGACAAAGCACACGTGCAGCTGAGGCGAATCAAGAAGTAAAACTACTGGAATCAAAGTGGAACGGCACCAGTTCCCATTTCGAAACTCGCGAACCACTACTGCAAGACATGGTTAATCCTCTTGAAGACCGTTTACGCATTCTTTCGGAAGAATGTTTCAGTTGCTCGTCAACTCTGCAGAATGATGAGTCTGTCACGGAAACGTCTAGATCACGGACCCCTATGGAGGACAATGTGTCGACATCGGAAGATACCAGCGGTTTTGTTACTGTACCTTCACTGATAACTGATTCAGGCACCATTCCCTCCACATCAGCTGCAGGGGACGTGAGGTCAAGCACAGCACAAATCGCTGTATTACTCAGAGATGTGAGTTTAAACTTACGTAGTCTGGAACCTTAGTTTTTGAGTTCGTGATGCCTTGTCCTAGCATACTGCTTGAGCCTTGATAACTTGTGATCTCGCAAGAAAGACATGTTAACGAGACCTACGGTAGAGTTAATTGGCATTCCTGTTGAAACTATTCTAACAGCTCTGCGCAACCTACTTGTGAGCCTTTTCCATTCTCTGGTAACCTATACATACAGGATTTTCACTTGAAACAGACGTATGATACGTTCCTTACTATTTGCCGAACACGTCCTGCCAACGTTTATCGCTTGGCCATAAGAGAGATGATTTGAAACAATGGGTCAGATCCTCTCTGGCTGATGCTGTAAGTATCTCAATGACTAGGCTGGCGAGTGGAAATCAGAGCCCCTCTGACTGCGTTCATTGTTGTAGATGGAATCGAAGTGCCGGGAAACCTTGTTCCAAACTAAATGGGGTGGCTGAAACCTTCCTTCCGAACTGCTCCATGAGGGTTCAGAACAAAGGATATTGGAGGTCTAACTGCTAGGTCTTATTTTTGAGCGTAAAGCACTGAGTCATCAAATACCTTTTTGTTCCTCTGTATCATACTCTTTCCTAACAACTTATTTTTGTGCAACCAAACTTACCTATCGTGCGAAAATCAGGAGCTTCCAAGACACTTCAGCTAATGGACTGAAGTGGGATTTGGGGTCCAGTATGATGTCTTGGCGTTAATATAATACTTGGTCTGTGACTTGCCCCGATACCTGTATGATCTTCCTTTATTAGGACGAACTGTCTTGGCCGGATGTGATATGAAAGCAGCTGAGACAGCACAAATCTGAGCAGAACTCTTGAACCCTTCGGAGTGTGCCACAAAAAGCGTACAGGTTATGATAATCGATAACGTAAAAGTCCCCGGACTATCCCCTCCTGAGACTTTCGTGTCTAGTTTAGGTTCTGTTTTTTGTGACGTAAAGCTGACAATGTAACGTAGTGATCGAGCTTTTGTGCTGCGGCGATCCTGTGGACTACACTGGCCTGAACGCAGTTCCCAAAGGTTCTATTGAATCGTTGGCTCCGGGCGAACCCTAACAACCGCTGCCTCGCGGTTCGGACTTTTGAGTCAGAGTTTAGGGATAGGGTCGCCGAACAAAAACCTACATCCTCCCACTGCCTTGTGGGTCAGATTTTGAGTCAAAGGCTCAAGTTGGTGTACCTCAACCCAACCTCATTCTTCAGCTTGGACATCCGGGAACTACCGCTGGACATTGCAGCTTTCCGGTCTTTCTCTACACTCTCTTCCCACCCATCGAATGATGCAGTACAGTCAACCCATCCGCCAGTCCCCTAGCCAATGTTCCGTGTCTACACAGTCACCCACAAAGATAAACCAAAATATCCACGTTGCAGAGAAACAACAGACCTCTCTTGCTGTAACTTTTCTTTCTCTATCTGTCGATGTATGCTGTGTCTCCGGAGCAGGCATACAAGACCCCAGTTCGGTCCTGCACCTCAAACCACTTAGGACGAGCTCAGCTCTCTCACTTCTCACTTTTCAAGTATCCAGTGATCCTACGCAATGGCTCGTGGTATCTATGGTGTGGGAGTTGCGCTCAGCTCCGAGGCTGAAAGCGCCCTAATGGACTGGATCCCAGCGACTATGATGGCATACGCAGACCCCTCAAACACCGGATGATCAGGAACTTGAAGAATGACGGAGTACGCTGGTGGATTTCGAAGGAGAAGTCTTTGCTGCAGGCAAAAGCCGCACCATCTGCCTCGCAGAGCTCTTTTCACCCAGCTCTGTAATGAGTGGAAGCGACCGAGAAAACACTATCCAATAAGCAAATTCCGGTTTAAAACTTCCGCCTCCTTCGATAGGGATGCTGGGACTTAACTAAGTAATGTTTAATGACAGAAACGCCCCGATGGCGCGGTCATTGACACCCCTGCATCAGAGCTATCCAGTGAGTAGTTGCCTTGTTCTCTAACTATCCAAACATGCTATCCAATGCCTGACTGGGTGTCGCACACTGTCCCGTGCGCATTCGAAAGTAAGTTGATCTCGAGTTATGAAGTTATTAATAGCTGACAAACCGTTGGCTGAAAAATAGACTTTTTCAAACTGTTCGAATTAGCAGCTAATTCGGTGATCATTCTGATGCTCGTCGTTAGTCAGTAGGTTCATGAAAAATGAATGAAAGTACAATGCAAACATCGGTTAGCGATGACAGACACTTCTTTATCATTCCTGAGATAAATCTAAACGAATCTTTGAACTAGTAACATTCTATTTCAGAAGAGCTTGATGAACAATCGGTAGTTTTTATTTGGACAACTTTTCGCTTTTGACACAAAAGCTTCGTCAGGCCAAGTGAGCAGGTCACCGAATGGGCCAGTTCATAAGGCAAACGGGGAACCAATCAGTAAGTCAGTCCTCTTCAGATTGTCACACTAGATCAGTGTTGAGTGTCATTTAACGGTTAGTGAAGTTGCCAAAATCTTGCTTTGTGGATTGATTGATTCTGATTAATTAATCAATTGATTGATTAATTCTGAACCACCCCCAATCTGTCTGCCTTATAACCTGGCCCATTCGGTGACCTGCTCACTTGCCTGATTGAGGCTTTTGTGTCAGAAGCGAAAAGTTGTTTAAATAAAAACTACCTATTGTTTATCAAGCTCTTCTGAAACGATGACTTATAGTCGCACATCGGGATGTCAGACCCAGGCAATATTGCAATGCACCGTTTTGCGCGGTTTTTTAACAGGTGGTTCACCAATGCAAGCCTCCTTCGAAATAAACTGCATCAGGTGGGCTGACCTGTGACCTTCATTTGGGTCCATCTCAGTGTCAAAAGGAGGCCACTGAGATTCACCTGAATTCCTTATTGAAATTTCTGCTCAAAGGCGCCTTATATTCCAGTTGGAAAGGCACTCAAGATATAGAAACATGTTTCTGTCATACTCGTAAGGTGGATGAGATCTCTGGACAGCCCATTATCGGCTTCACCCTTATTGCGGCTCATCAGGTAAATCCGGTTTCCGTCGTATTTTTACCTATGTTTTGCGAATTAGGTTAATATTGAGGCGATAATCAACTGAAATTCACCTGGGGAATATTATGATTGAGAGATATAGGTTGACTTCATCGGGATCGTTGTGGTCACTAATTGAATTCACAAATGAGTGTTTGTCACAGTGTACGTGCAAATTGATGTTCAAGCACAAAATAAGTTTGTTGGAAGTTTGGGGACTAGGATTACCTGATGATGAGCCTCAAGAAGTGCGTAACTTTTGGCAAAAGTCGTGTGTGGAGTTAGGTATGTTTTTCTTATAGACAAACTCGTACTCTGAAGAACCGTTTTGTGCCCTCAATGAATCTCTTCACGAACAGAATAATCAGTCCTTTTCAGCCTATGGCACATTATGTTGATTATTCCCAGTGCCTTCAGTTAGTCGATGCTTCTGTTCGCTTTGCAGCGCGACTTACTCGCTTCACGACTTGAGACTATGCGGATCCATCTGGCTGAAGCTAAAGCCCAGTGGAGCGAATGCGTTGCCACTTTGGAACGTCAGGTTGCTCATTTGAACTCCAAGATTGCGGAGGATTCAATCAAACATAGGCGAATTGAATTAGCCCACCGGTCGACCATAAATAGCCTAAAGCTGGAAGTGAGTGTGCCCGTATTTGGTTGTTTTTTGTATGTTTTCTTGATGTTTAATTGTTTGCCGAGCTTGACATTAGAATTCCGATTTGAACTTCATCTTGTTTAACGTACTCACACTACTTTCTATATTTCAAAGTCTTCTGGTAAGTTGACCTTCCTTCGAAGTGTTCAAATGGAATGTAGATGATGATGGTGCTGTTAGTACTAGCATTTCTCGAACCGTTCACCGTAGCAGACATAAATTATGCAGCTTTGAATATATGCGGCAGCCGCGCTTGTCGATCGAAGTACTCAGTTAGCCGTATCATCGCGACCTCAACCAGGCTGTGCTTTAAAGACTGTTGTGGTCTATTGTTCCCTTCTGCAGTTTGTTCAGCAAGGCCGTGTAGATCCTCGAAACCGATGTGTGGATTTTATGCAACTGAAAACTACCTTTGGCTGTAAATTTTGATGTTTTCTTCAATAACCTGTGCGGTAATGATGGAGAGAATGGTACATTGTATATTTTTTATTCGGTTGAGAGTTTGAGCTGTTCATATCCGAACACAATTCGTGGGGTCGCCTGCTGGAGGTCTGTTTTCATCTGTGTCCCCCACAGTGAACCATCTTAGAGTCATGAGGGTCTTTACTTAGAGACTGTCGTGTCTATGTGGTAGCCGGGTGATTTAGGAACTCGATGGAATTTATTCCATCACGTCTGATAGTCCAGTACTTGAGTTAGAAAACCGCAAGGAATAAGACAAGAGATACCGGTTGAAGACCGGCTATATTGCAAGTGAACCAATGCAAGAAGGAGCGCTGCGACTCAGTTGGCTACAACAGGGAAAAAGTGAAATCCGATTGAAATATTATAAAAGGTCGAATTGTTCGTTAGGATCTGACCGTCCTAACATAGACCGAGATCCATTCTTTGCCGGTCTACACACCTGACAAGACTGTTCGGCAACGTACGTTGGACGCTGCAGTTTCTTCCCTGCATTTCACTCTACAGTCTTGTTCAAATAGATTATATTGCAGTCGACCGCTAGTGTCCTCACGCTGGCGTCGTTACCCGTTACGGTTGTGTTGGTTGTAGGCATCATGGTTGCACGTGGGCTGGGATACTGTCAGAGCTCTCAGACCCAAACCGGAGAGCTATCAGGATCCTCAGTCAAAGCCTTTGGCTCAAAAGCCTGACCGCAAGGCGGCACTATTTGGCGGGAAGTGCCAGTGCATTATAATTTTTAAAGAACAGATCGCCACATGTTCCAGCCTCCAATTAGGAGGACAAGCAGACTGTCGGTCAGACAAACCACCGACCAACCTCGTCTGAGAGACTCACTGTGTCCAACACCTCCCAGTATAGCTTACTGGGTTATGGAGGCACACACCGACTTCTGCATCTCGACTTTTCCTACCTAGGCTTGGGTGACCTGGCAGTATTTAAACCGTCGTGCTCACTTCGGGTGACATAGCAGTCAGGCACCGAAATCGTTTTACAGCTGGACGATTTTCATAAAAAAATTAGAAGAGTGGCTTTTTTAGGGCGAAGCAACTGGCCTTGTGCCCTCACTTGGTCGATTCATTTCTACCTTAACTGTATCGTACTAAACAGTCTTTAAAGCTCAGCCAACACCACAGTTGTCCATAACTTTGTGCCTTTCAGCCTCACTAGGGTTCGGATCAACCCTAGTTGTTTCAGACGATATTCTTTCATTTTGCTACCCTTCCTTGACTAAGAGGTTGTCAGTTTGATAGCATATGCCTTGCACATCTAAGATGTTGACATATCGTCCATCCACTTAAGCTCAACGAAGCCAACACGAAACTTGAGGGGGCGATGAAGCTGGTTCGCATGACTGAACAAAGTGCAGCGAGAAAAATACTTGCCTCTGAGTCACAATCAGCTGAATGGGTTGATGAACGTACCCGCTTAGCAGCCGAGTTAGCGGGTCTGTCTGTGCAGGCGGAGCGAACTGTCAAAGAACGGAATGAAGCGATGCAGGAGATTGTAAGTATGGGCTTTTTTGGTGTTACGTACTGTCTCCACTGCCCTTCTGCAGCCATCTTTACACTTATCTCCGTTAAACAGCCAGTGCCTTTTGTCATGTTCCTCCCTTCAGTATCATTTGGTCAGGACAACGGGTCCTCACCGACTGGTGGGCAGCCCTATTCTACGCCCAGGTTGTCACTCACTTTCAGCTATAGACTGGAAAAATGTTGTTTGTTGATGTGTATAAGCCTCAACCCGTGTTGCGTGTTTGTCATTGGAGTGCCACACCCGACCTAAAGCTGCCACTTTGACGTGGTAGTCGGGCTTGAGGGCTGTAATGATCCTGCGGGCTGCACTGGCTGGAACGTCGTTCCACAAGGTGCAACCATGCCAGGAAGGTCAAAGGGGAGCAGTCAGACCAAGAGCAGTGGGACTCCATACGTCGAGTAATCGTATTACGAGGCGGTCTGGGGGTAAAGGTGTACTGTCCTCTGCGACAGGAGTGTGAAGGCAGTAAGGTATTTCCCCCCAAGCGACTAGTATCTCCATAGTTATGGAAGCAGCGATGCTGCCTCCCCCGAGGAAGGACGGGTTAGAAAAGGTCGGCCCAAAAAATTGCACACCAATCACCCTACCGTTGACCGTGACCGCCGGCGCATTATTTAATACGGTCGAAATACTTTTCAAACCAAAGAGTCCGGTACTGCTCAAAAGGCACCTGCTGTGCAGGACAGCACCACCTGTGCTGTCAGGAATTAGACAGCAATGCCTTATTCCCTGAACCCTCGGGTTAGGCCATCCCCTGCAGCCGAGCAGGTCAGACTACTGAGTCATCGGCTCCGGGCAGGGTATCCAAAGAAAACCCTACTGTCCGCTGCCTCGTGCATCAGACCCCGAACAAAACCCTACATCCTTCCACTGCCTTGTGCGTCAGACTTTTAAGTCGAAGACTCAAGGTGATGTACCTCAACCGGACTCCCTTTTTCGGCCTGGGCAACCTCAGGTATCATTTGTCTACGTAGTTCGGTGTCCACCGATGTCCCTTCCCGACTCCTTCCCACCACACAGGCAAACGTTGCTGGGCAATTTGACTGTGAGTTATCTGACCGAAGGGCCTTATGCTCTTCGCTGCCTACAAACATCAAACAAAATAACACCTTTCTAAATCCACGAGATCCTTTCTATATAGGAGCTTTTAATGTCTCTACTCTATGTCGAATTGGTAAGCAGGCAATGCTTGCTGAAGCCTTATACTCTCTTAAAATTGATGTATGTTGTGTCTCCGAATCACTCATATGAGACCCAAGCTTGGTTCAGCATCTCAGAACGCCAACGATTAACTCAGCCTTTTCACATTTCTCCCTCCGTGTATCCGGTGACCCAGAAGCGATTATCCGTGGAATATACGGCTTGGAAGTTGCGCGACAACCCTGGGGGATTGCTCGGATTCCTCGACCACCGGTCCGTGAGCCAAAGCTGCAATATCATAATCGATCCCATGGGAGGCCGAGATGATAACGGGGAGACAATGGTGGGCACCGCACCTCTACTTCCTCTCATTCCACGCAATAAATCGGCGCGCATTCAAGACTATGCTCACGTTGATCAAGGTTGCTCGACACCCCCAAACAGCAATTAATTCAGGCTTTATGAAAGACGTCAAAGTAGATGCTCTCAGTTCCTAGAAGGTGGTTTGTCCTGGACAACAGAGAAGTTTTCCGGGTTCCGTTGCAATCCGATTAGGTCGAGTACATCATCATTTGTGATCCACCAGGACTGAAAAATATGCACTAAACTTTCCGGTTAACCACACTTTCCACGACAGAAGATGATATGGTTACCATGACCATTCAAACGTTCCCAACTCCTCAGCAGCTTACACCGGTGCTGGATACCGAGTGTTACGGTCAAACGACATTTTCGAGTGATGTGTAATACCAGAGGCTCCGAGAAGGCAAAAAAAAACTCGGGGCTGGGTTCCTATATGTTGCCATTGATTAGAAGATTAATTCGCAAAATATACAAACCTCGACAGTCGATACTTGTGTACAACAAGTGGTCCCCTTGGATTATAAAAGTACAAACCAAATGAGGCAGTCACTCGGGATTAACGTCGGCACAAAATGGCTAGATGACTTCTAGGTCAAATGGGTGAAGTGACAGGAACAAACAAACGCTAGTTCATGTGCACATACTATACACAAAGGTGGAGCGGGGGTTACAAATTGAGACACATGACTTCTGGCAATTTGTCTAACTGTATTGTACTCCGGACCGGTAGGAATACATATGCGAACCCAGAGGGAGTTTAGAATCCCCTCGAGCTCGTGTTTAGTCGTGGGCGTCCATATCTTGAAGTGTTGTGGATAGTATTTTTCGTTAAGGGTCGAAATCAGAATATGGATTGGTCGAAATATACCCCAATAGGCGTTTCTGACAAGTGATTCACCCTACGGTCCAAGAGCCTAATAATGGCGGAACTCGCGCACCTCCGGACAGCATAAACACAAGTGGCAACAACCAAGCTCATGATCAGAATCCACGTAGGTGTTTTAATGCAAATAGAAATCAGTAAGTGCTCAGACCGATTGGTTTTTTATCGTCATCACACTTTTCCATACAGGTGACGATCCGCGCTCAGAAAGAACAACTACGGGACCAGTTGAAAATTCGTTCGGATGAACTGGCACGCTGTGAACGGGATGTGCTGTATTATAAAGTGAGCGCATTTTTCGTTGATTTCCCTAAAGACTGGCTACACGGCACGCTAAGATCTTCGTTCCTCCACGAGCTTACAGTCTTTATGAGATTTCGGATATATTCCCTTTGTTGCCTTCTGTCCTACTGCCACTGTCGTTTTGTCGATCGAAGCATGGTTTAGATGTGCAGTGCGCGAGCATCTTCCTATGGAGAGGTAAGCCCTCACTCCTCCACCGGAAGGGGTGACTTTTGATAGAAGAGTCCACTGTTCTCCAGGCAATATCTGTAGGAGATGATTGTAGCTCCTCTCTTACTCCAAGTCTCATATAGACCGAAACGTCATTTTTTGGTGGCCTCTGTTCTCATGCGCCCTTTACACCTTCCGTGTATCCCATCGCCTACTTGCAAAACGTTTTAAACGTGAGCTGCGCTTGTGCAGTCTTTGGTCCCAACATCATATTGCTTTATGTAAAGAACATAATTGATCTATTTTGTCCCTAGGCTCAATATGAGGCGAAATGCCATGAGCTGCAGAATATAGAGTCCGAGCGACTTTTCGAAAGTCAGCGCTCAGCTGATCTCGTAAAGCGGGTAAGTTTTCAGGCCATCTTTTCACCAATGGTCACAAATACTAATACATTTGTCGAGAGACACAGTAACCCAGCTGATTGACGGGAACTGGTAGATAGGTTGGACCTTGTTCTTTAAAGTCACCCGTTCTGCAAATTCTAGACGGTGCACGTTTCAGAGTGCTTTTCGAAACTTGTCGCCGATCTGATCAGCTTTACCCATCATACAGCCGCTGAGGAGCCCCTGGGACTCGAATGGTTTTAAGTAGTATGATGCAGATTCAGGCTTCATTACATTTTTTACCCTTTTTTCAACATTCCAGATCAGATTTTAATTTTGAACTAGAATGCTTGCATCAGTTTGCCAGTCAGCTAGTCCATAAATACACTTACCTGGGCAGCATTGTAAGTCATGAAGAACTTACGGAATGCAAAGTCATTCCAGTCACTCGAATCGAGGAAGCCAACATAGCTTTGGCCCACCAACACTGGCATAACATCATGTTGTCTTTCTACGGTGGATTATACACTGTACCGTAAACTGCTGATCTTACTAGTTTATCGACCAAAGACATGGAATTTACGTGCATATGATATACAAGACTTTCGCCGATTGATCATTGTTGCCTCCGACACAGTGTCTGGGTTTGGCGAAACCATCCGACCAGTAACCCAATTTTCCTCCGTCGATTTCCTACGATGAACTGGCCAGTCACATTCACTAAATCACTTCGTCTAGTTTATATGGCCGTCTGTCTAACAGACGTTCTTCAGTGTACGGGTTGGAATCGATCGAAATTCTGCGGAGTTATGTAAGGAAGTTGTGACCACTGCGGCCTCCGACGGTGGAAGACCGCTGGACCCCAATAGTTGGCGACACTCATAGATATAGCTCGGTCGCGCAACTGTGTTCATGAATCACACCTACCCACGAACACTAAGTTATTGGGGTCCCCTCTTGGCGCGTGGAGTCCCTTTCTATCTGCATTCAGCCGTCTTTTTTACATGGATATTGATTGCGATCGATGTGGTATTTTTCCGTTCTAATAGTCTAGTATGTTGAAGTTGCGTAGGTGCGTTTAGACAGCTAACACATTACCAGAGAATACCAAACGCGCCTGATGTGCACTTTGTTTGACCGCGCCGCTGTATATGTACTCCTGAATCTCTTAGTGAGAACAAAAGTTCTCAAAAAGAACACTGATTTCTAACGACTACCCAGATAAATTTATCAATATCCACAACACTCCAGGGTATGAGCGTGAGCCTGACTACTCATTAAAAAGGAGAGGTTATTGTCAGCCATACGGCACTAATTACGTGCTATTATTGGTCGTAAGTGCCGAGCCGCCCCACTAATCCTGCTCTCATCAGCGTGATAAGTCAGTCTCCGATGCACGCCATGTATTGTACCCAATCCCTGTGCCTTTATATTGGCAGAACTGAAAGGGACTTACGCGAACGCATCGCAGAACATTTGAGTCAGGTGACTAATCGGTCGACCGATGGTCCGGCTGAAAGTCTGCCTCGTCGGCCGTCAGACATTCAGTCCACTGGGGCGTTCAGAATGTTATTGCAAAATGCCAACTCGAAATTGTCAGCTCTTAGTCAGGCTGTGTTGATCATTCAATACTGCTGCAACTTGCGCGCACTAAAAACCCTGACACAAACTATCAGCTTGCCTTGGACTTCAGAACTGTACCTGATTGGCCCACTTTCTTGTTGCTACCATGTCAAATTGATGGTTTTTAGTATTGTGGTTGAAGAGGAAATCCGAATGTGTATACTCCGCACTCTCTGTCTAATCGTTCTATTATTCAAATGGATAAAACGGACTGAATGTTTTAAATTTCATGTTAAGTTGTTCAGTCATCCTACGTCCTACAGAGTTTTCTAATCACAATATTTTATTTCAGTTTAGTTTGTTGATACTCAAATCTATTGGTTCTTTGGTCGGCGGATGCTTTTCTCCCTATGCTGCTACCATCACCATGAGACTATTGGGGATCGTTTTTGTTGTGAGATTTTTCAGTTTTAACATAAGATTTCGTCTTATAAGTAAAGCCTGTGTATACTGAAAATTCGAGAAGCACTGTGCAGCTGTCTTATCCTTATTGGGAATCATCAGCAGTTCACATTCCACGAAACTCCAGGAAGTTTCAAACCCGCGACTACTAGTCTGAACACCTATCTGTTAGGTCGCAAGCGGTTCATCAGCGGTAAGATTGGATCGTACTTAGGCAAGATACGGTGTCACTCATCCTTCAGTCACTGAAGGCGCACCACATGGTCCAGTGTTGACGGGCTTCCTGAGTGACGGTTTCTCATACGGAAGGCAGATTTGTTGTGCGAATTATTCCTTCCAAATCATTTGTAGATTTCTAGTACAATCAAGCTGTCCGTCTCTGAATTATAATATTCAGTGATTAAACACACGTCGCGGGTGAGATTTTCTCCGCTGATTATTGTCATCAGCTATACAGTGCTTCCTGGATTTTCAGCAGCAGCATCTGTTTTTAGCCTACAGTTAGTACCCTTACCAACCTCGAACACGATCCTTGATTTCCCTCAATAGCTTGAAAGAGCTCATGCAGAAAATCGGGAGTACATGGACCAGCTAGACCAATGCCGTGACGAACTCCGGGTAGCGAAGACGAAACCCGCAGCGCTTGTTCAAGGTGTGTTAACCTCCTCTGTAATCTTAAATAGTGTTGTTTCGTTTTGCTTCCCGATTAGCCGTGCTACTGTTTTACCGTCGTCGAAGAAGGTTTGCGTTCCAGCATTTTTCATCGTTATGAAACCACGGATATTTTGGAAAAGTGTAAACTCATTTTGCTGCTGAGTTCGATTGGCATTTTTGTGTTTGATGTTGTCATACATCGAAGGCAGGAATTTGACACAATTGGGCTGTAACTATGAGTTTTGTAACACCTAACCTGGAAGGTCCTTAACAACGAGTATTCAGCCCTACTTTGATCCAGTCGAGTTTGTTGTAGCTTTTACATGTCTTCCGGTTAGACCATTGCTAGCTGGAAGCCATTTCATCCCAGATTGCATAATGCTTTATGAAGGCTTTCACAGTCAAAACAAAGTATACATTCGTTGATTGTGTATACTTGAGCTCTTCGCCAATAAGGTTGTTGGCGAACTCTAAAGAAAATGATTGGTTAACACATGTTTGTCCATTGATACACAGTTTTCCTGTCTGCCACCGAACTTTGGGTCGTTTTTGCCCAGTCAAACAATTCTGGGTTTAATTGGTTCTCGGATGCTAGGGAGCGTGTTGTTCACTCTCTTTCAGCCTTTGAAGACGGTCACACTCATTCAAAAGATACCCACAATAACCTTGTGCTGGAAAGGAATTCGGAGATTGAAGCTAAACTTCGAGACACTGAACTGCAACTCAAAACAAAAATACGTGAAAATGAGGATCTTCTAAAAAAGGTATGCGTTTTACTACTCCCCTCACTGATAGGTCAGTGTGGATTGTCCCTAATGAATAATGTCATATTATCGCTTTACAGGCGTTGAATCGCTGCGATCTGCTACTACCATCACTGAGTAACTACACTAAATCCAACCAATTGATTGGGAAACTGCTCCAAGTGTACTACCTAAAGAAGAGTTAGGGTCATTCGAAAACAAATTAATTTTTTAGAGTCAGCGTCTAGTTTTATCAACGTCATTGATGTAAACATTGCGTGCTACGGAATGTTACGTGTATAGGTACGCGTGTCGTCTGTCCATCTTCGAAGGCGTCCTTCAAAATCAGGTATATGTACCAACGATTACACTCTCGTAGCGTCTCTTTACCGTTTTCCTTCTATTTACTTGCGGAACTTAGAGGACGTACTGTCCTACAGGTCTTAAACATGTTTGACAGGAGAGATGCTATACAGAGACGAGGATGATTTCCTAAGACTGCTTGAAGTGTAGGAACTCACAAATTCTTCTCCGTCCCCTTGCTCGGCTTGGGTTACGCTTCGGTATACAGACTGCTTAATCGGTTCCAGATCGTACCTTAGATTTCTCAATGTTGTTGTGTTGTTTTCTTGTTTGAACCGAGCACCCAATGTCCCGACTAAGATCATTCTCTCATGTGGGGTTTTCTCACTGAAGCCTTTCAGTCTTTCTGACCGTGCATGTACCTCTAAAATGATATTATTATTGTTGTTCGATATTGCACCTTTTGTCTGTCTAACTTGGCTCATGCAGGTGAACACAACTTACCTGAACGGAGCAAGCGTATGTCTGCATTTATTCACTTTTTGCTTGCATCAGTCTGAAGAGTAACCAAGGGTCGTTAGTCAATAACGTAGCTCAGTTCCAAATGTTGGGTTAACGCGACCCGGTAAAATTAGGTCACATATAAATGTTTCACTCAAGCGGTGTTCGCTGCTAAATGAAACCGTTCACAGTCCCATCGAGTGTTTTCATCTGTATTCTGTTACTTGAACGGTAGGGATGCTATGAACCAATGAAGCGAAATCCGGAATGTTTGAAAAATTTAGTTGGCCAACACAGTCCATGGCACATACCATTCGCATACGTTCCCTAATAAATGTTAAGATCCAGGAATGCGAGAATTTTTATTTAGTGGGGAATCTCCGTACTCGACGAATGGTCCAATACCGATGGTGACCTACCCTGCGCGTGCCTGTAGCCCTTTTTTATTTAGTGATTTACTTCTTGACCATTGAGCCCTCAGAAACCACAGGTAAATGCACATCCACTGTTTTTGGCTTACTTCGATTGATTGCCAATTCTAGCCGCCGTCAGATGCCCTATGTAGTTATTGGCCAATGTAGATGAAGCGCGTCAATTTTTAGTTCGTTCGTTCATGCACTGTTGCTTTTATGACAAGGCGGAGCTTCTGTCACTGGAGCAAACACCTGAGTTTTATTTTTCTTAAAAACGGGAATAAAGATTGCAAGGGTGTTCTAATGGTTCGGTGGCTTCATCGAGAACCGGTTCTAAGGAACCAGAAAGTCATTGGCTTGTTCGCTGAGCTGGTCAATTTGTACTTTGGTGGTTGTGCCAACCACCAACTCATAGCTACGCCCCACTACGCTCCCTAACAACGCACTGATGATATCACCATAATCGTAAATCAACGTTTGCAATCAAATTGCCCAACTCGGCGAACAAGCCAACGGCCACCTACGCTACCTGAGCTACCAACATTTTCCTCTATAGAGTCTGAGAAAGTGATTAAGCGTGGTTCATATATCGATTCATGTATCGGTGCCTCCATTCGATACGGAATGTGCTACAAACCTTTCCCTGTGTGCGTCTATCTGACTGACATGGAACAGGTTTCAGTGTACTCCAGCACTAGTGGTCATCCCATATAATTCATATTCTATATTACTGAATAATGCCTGTCACGAATACCTCAGATGGCAATTAACTGTTGTCTTTAACCAGACTACTACTGTAACTTAACCCTACTTGTGTTCTTTGAAGTCGTCATTTGAGCATCTTTTCAAAACTAGTGTCCGGTTCTCTTAAGAAGGCGTTTGCTGTGCACAGCTGCTCTAGGAATGAGACAACACTGCCTTACTCCCTGTGTTCTAGGGCTAGACCGACCCCCGTTCAGACTTTTGAATCAAAGGCTCAAGGTGGGGTACTTCAACTAAACTCCCTTCCCCAGCTTGGGTGACTGGAATGTAGTATTCGATCGTGCAGTTCTCTGCTCTCTGGCCTGCCTCTACAGCTCCTTCCCACCCATCCAATGATGCAGTATGGTCAACCCATCTGCCAGTCCTCTAGCCAATGTTCCGTGTCCAAACCTTTGCACAGAAAAACATGCCAGAATAATTACTTACTAACCTCAGCAGATCTGATTCACGTTGCAGCCTTTAATGTCCCTACTCTATGTGATATTAGGCAACAAGCTTCTCTTACTGTAACTTTTCTTTCTCTATCTGTCGATGTATGTTGTGCCTCCGAAGCACGCATACAAAATCCCAGCTCAAACCACTTAGGTTGAGTTCAGATGTCCCAAATTTCACTCCTCGAGTATCCAGAGTTCCTGATGCAGTGGCTCGTGGTACCTACGGTGTGGGAGTTGCACTCAGCCCCAGGGCTGAAAAAGCCTTACTGAAGTGGATCCCAGTTAACATCTTTGAGCTGTTCGGTTGTCTGGATCAATTAGGATCAACAATGGTCTTCATTTGTCGTATCAGCAGTTAAGAAGCACGGGTTTTATCGAAATCTGTCGTGGCTGCTTGGTTTAGCAAGAAGGACGGATATAGTGATCCTGGTGGGTGATATGAATGCCCGGAAGAATCACAGTTATATGGTAGACTTAGAGTAAATGCTCGGTGTACGGATATCAAAGAGCGAGTGCTTCAGTTGTGTGCTGACCATCGTCTGTTCGCGTTCAGTGCAAACTTCCAACACATACGCACACGTCGAGTTACTTGGAGACCACAAACCGCAAGACACTCATGGACTCATCTGGTTTATGTGACTATCAGTTACTGATGGATGGCCTCAAAGATTCTCGTTCCTTCTGGGTTATGCATCTTGACTCTGATCATACCATTGTGTGAGCCTGGTTGTCACTTCGCTTTCCGTCAACAGTACGTTTTCCAACTCCGTTCATCAAGTTCGACAAGTTTCATTAACACAAAGGTATCGCGCTGATCTGGCTTCTGGAAACGTACAATCTTCTGGATTGCTTGGAGGTTGAATGGAAACGGGTTGAAGGAGCTATGCTTTCAGCCTTCAGTACTGCTTGCTCAAGCTATTTGACTCGACCAAATGTACACTAGATATTTCTGAGACCAGCCGATCTTATTGCTGCCTGAGGGGCCATACCAGCAACTGGCGACTGTGATGCCGCATGGAGATTCCTCAAACAGCTGATAATCAGGAGCGTAAAGAATGACAGAGAACGCTGGTGGATTTCTAAGGCTTGAGAGGTAAGGAGGGCCTTCACTGCAGACAAAAGGTGTGCCTTATTTCACACCGTCTGCCACGCAGAGCTGTTTTCGTTCAGCCCTGCGCTGAGTGGGAGCGACCGAGAAAATACTGTCCAGTCGGGTTTACAACTGCCGCCTCCTTAGATAGGGACGCTGTGATTTAGCTAACTGATAGTTATCGACACGCATGAATTACCAAAGCGCACAGCCATTGACTCATGCATCAAAGCCATCGATCGCCTTCAGAATGCAGTTACCTTGTTCCCTAACAAACCAAATATGCCATCGCTTCCGAGGCTTGGCTGTACGTCCCACACTCCCACTTTCGAAAGTGTTGTAGCTGGAACCAATGTTCCTATGGTACACCGTTTATAAATTGAAGATTGAATTGATTGTATTTCAGGGTTGCGTGCTATTCCGGTGGTCCACAAGACCCCGCAGTGGTGTCATTTTGCATTTTTCCTAATTTGTGTCACTTGCTATTCTCGCTACATTTTACCTCAACTGGTCACCAACGATGTATGCTGGCTTGTCAAGCGCATTCGTTTAGTGCGCGATTATATCCGTTTTTTCGTGACTTCTTGAAATCTGCTTGTGTACTGATGTACTCATCAAGCTGTGTATTTGCAGGTTTCTGAGCTTTCAGCGGAAGGCGGTCGTTTACCCGGGCGTATTCAAACAGTTGAATCGGCAGACAGTGTCCGAAGTGTACTCGAACAAAAGGACCAGGTGAGAGTCACATCTGTGGTTGGAACGTTTCCGTTTTTCTCCATGGTTTTGCACTGCGTTAAAAGAAAAACGTCGCTTCTCTGCACATACACTTTCCTTTTGGTGATTTTATGTCGTAAGCAATGTATGGACAGCTAGGCTTGATGGTCGTTGATTTGTTCACCGAGCTGAGCGATTCGATCGCAAACGTTTCATCGCCAATGGAAGTGACATCATTAATGTGTTCATCATCATCATCATCATCATCATCATTATCATCATCATCATCATCATCATCATCATCATCATCATCATTGTCAGCTGTAATAACCAC